GTCTAGCCGTCATTAAGTACGGCTAGTCTCTTCCTATTCTTAATACTTAATATGATCGCATGCGTAATATGATGGCTAGACTGACCTATTTACAAAAAATAGGCCTACTGAATTGTAAATATATACATTTTTAGTGTGCAGTACCTAAAGTATTTGTATTTGAGACGAAACCAGGGGCCTTAATGACAGTGCATGTATTTTAAACCTGAAAGTGGCTATTCTCACCCGCCCAGAAGTTCTCACAAGATCAACTCCTCCCCTCTTCTCTCTCTCTCTGTCTCTTTCTGAATACTGTCTATCGGTGTGGACGATCAAATTGACCAAAACAAAGTTAAAAAATGATGTTAAAACACAAACGTAAATTAATTTGGTTGTCTACAAAGATGCTACGGCTATTTAACTTTTCGAATCGAGCCGAACTACGCGGGTCGCCATTTTTTTTGCCCGGAAATTCTCGCGCTACTCCTCTCTCTCTCTTTCTCTCTCTCTCTTCACTGCCCACAGACAAAATTGTACGCTTTTAGTAGGCTACAGTTGTAATGGAACGTTTGTACACGGCACAGAATTCTACAATTTTTCTGTTATCACAGTGTAGAATTCTGTGGTTTAGGGTGAACGCAAAATTTGGTGAACGCGCACCGGGTGAGAATAGCCACAAGACTCGCCTGCACTATTCTCACTCCGGGTGAGAATAGAGGTGGCCTTTAAACCTCCCGTTTTCGAATGTTAATAGGGCCTAAGATAAGTACGGCTAGACTGGCAGTCTAGCCGTACTTAAGTACGGGTATACATCCAGGCTAGCGTACTTAAGGACGGCTAGACTGTCAGGCTAGCTGTACTTAATATTGATGGCTGAATTGTAAATGAAATTTTTAGTTTGCAATGCCTAAAGTATTTGTATTTCAGACAAAACCAAAAGGTGCCTTACTGCCCTTACTGACTTGCATGTATTTGAACCTGAATAATTACTAGGATCTAGATCTAATGAGATCTGCGTACTTAACAGTAACAGGCTTGAGTCGATTGGGCCAAACCTAGATTTAAGTACGGCTAGACTGGCAGTCTAGGCGTACTTTAAGTACAGCTAGACTCTCAGTCTAGCCGTACTTAAGTACGGCAGTACGGCTAGCCACTTCTTTAATTAATTACTAATGAGACCTGTGTACTCAACAGGTTTCTAATAGGGCCTAAAATAAGTACGGCTAGACTGCCTTTAAGGACCCGTACTTAATGGCCATCGTTATTCGGACTCGAGTCCGAATAACATTTTTTCATATTCGGACTCGAGTCCGAATTTAAAAAATTCTTATACGGACTCGAGTCCGAATATGAAAAAATATTATTCGGACTCGGGTCCGGAAAAAAGGAAGTGTCTTCGTTCTATAGATCTAATGTTCAGTGCTTCCAATTTTCCGCCATTTTTTAGTTTCCCCCACACTTTTTTCTGCCGATCCGATGCCCGCCGCCTCATTGATACGCCCCACCCCACCCCACATGTTTCCCACTTTCTTTGTTGTAGAAAAGGGTAAAATTGAAGATTAGCAGACCACCTGGCACCTGCATATTATGAGCTGTGTTAAAAAAAAAAGACCGATTCGTTCAAATACACAAGCCTGTGTCATCTCGATTGTTTACCAAGAAAAAGTTGTGTTGCTGTGTAGAGCTGAGCATACGGCAACTTTTGATTCCATAGACCAGCGCACAATTCATTACGTAGGTCTACGTCAAGATTGGCTTATTATTGTAATAATGATCAGTTGCCAGGGGGAAAAAGACTGACGCGTATGCTACGTTCAACGCCCGGACGGATAGTGCCCCCCCCCCCCTGACACGCACACAGCCACACGTGTGCAGGCCGCCCATCCGACCCCGACACACGCTAACGAGCCATCTTTAATTGCTTCTGATGACCTCTTGACAAATAAGCATTTATTAGAAGCGCTATAACTTTTCAGGCCGGCCTCAAATTCATCATAAGATAAAACAACTCGGCTCCTGCACAAAGCGCCTTTTTGCCCGAAGTAATCCCAGTCTCTACCCAGCCTGAGGCGAGTCACGAGTGAGGCAGGACAGGAAGCCGGAGTCACGAGTCACAGGAAATC